TTTTCTCGGGTCCTTTCTCTCTCTCTTCTCCTTCTGGGACCCCTATAATGCAAATGTTGTGTTTAACGTTGTCCCAGAAGTCTCTTAGGCTGTCTTCATTTCTTTTCATTCTTTTTCTTCTGTTGCGCAGCAGTGAATTCCACCATTCTGTCTTCCAGGTCACTTATCCGTTCTTCTGCCTCAGTTATTCTGCTATTGATTCCTTCTACTGTAGTTTTCATTTCAGTTATTTTATTGTTCATCTGTGTTTGTTTGTACTTTAATTCTTCTAGGTCTTTGTTAAACATTTCTTGTGTCTTCTTGATCTTTGCCTCCATTCTTTTTCCCAGGTCCTGGATCATCTTCACTATTATTATTCTGAATTCTTTTTCTGGAACGTTGCCTAACTCCACTTCATTTAGTTGCTTTTCTGGGGTGTTATCTTGTTTCTTTATCTGGTACATAGCCATCTGCCTTTTCATCTTTTCTTTCTGTGAATGTGGTTTTTGTTCCACAGGCTGCAGGACTGTAGTTCTTCTTGCTTCTTGCTTCATTGATTCCTTACTGCACTTATATTCAAGACAGAATTCCATACATTGGCCCACTGACTACACTATGTGTCCTCTATTTACCTCTTCAACCTCATCTTAGTGTCTCTTCCTCCAGATCTTTCAGTTTATATATGTGCCATGTACCATATTCTTTCCTGCTCATCACTTGAGCACTTGCTGTTCTTCTGCTAGAATGTTCTTCCCTTTCTCTGGTTAACCACTATTTATCCTTTGGATCTCAACTAAAATGTCACTCCTCAGTCGGGCCTGTCTTGTTACCAGTCTCTCATGATACCCTCTAATTGCCGTATAGTACTTACCACACAATAACTATGCAACTGTTAGATAATAACTATGCAATTATATAGGTAATTATTGTTTAGTGGCTATCTTTTGAACACTAAACTATAAACTCCATGAGAGCAGAAACCTCATCTATTTTTTATAATTTTATTTTTTTAAGTTTTATTTAGGTATAATTCCCTTATCATGAAATTCTTCCACTTAAGTATACAGCTTATTTAATAAACTTATAATTGTGTGATCCTCACCACAGTCCAGTTTTAGAAAACTTCCATCATCGCAAAAATGTTTCCTTGTATTCATTTGCAATTCACCACTACCACTCCCACCCCCAGCCCTTGGCAACCAGAAAGCTTCTTTCTGTTTCTAAAAACATCTTTACTGGACATTTCCGATAAATGGATCATATAATATATGGTCTTTTGTGCCTGGATTCTTCTACTTTGCATAATGTTTTGAGGTTCACCCATGTTGTAGCATGTATCAGGAGTCTGTTCCTTTTAATTGTTGAGTAGTATTCCATTGTATGGCTGTATGGCTATACTAAATGCTGTTTATCCATTGGTGAACAGTTGGATTGTTTCCAGTTTGGTGCTGTATTAAATAATGCTACCATGAATATTCACATGTGTTTAAGTAGAGTTATGTTTTCATTTCTCTTGTGTGGGTACATGCTGCCAGGAGTAGAACTGGTAGTGGAGTTACATGTTACGTGGATGTGTTAACATTTTAAGAAATCACCAAACTGTTTCCCAAAGTGGCTGTACCATTTTACAATAATGTATGGAGAATGCCAGTATCTCTATACCCTTGCCATTGATTATAGCCATTCTAGTGGGTATGCAGGTGGTATCTCATTGTTTCAATTTGCATTTCCCCAATGATTAATTATGTTGAGCACTTTTTCATGTGCTTATTAGCCATTCATCTTCTTTTGTGAAATGCCTATTCAATTCTTTTGCCCAGTTTTTAATTCAGTTGTTTGTCTTAGTATTGAATTGTAAAAGTTCTTTATATATTCTGGATACAAGTGCTTTACCTGATATATCATTTGCAAATATCTTCTCCCAGTCTGTCGTTATCTTTTCATACTTTAAAAATATATATATTTATTTATTTATTTTTGGCTGCATTGGGTCTTCGTTGCCACGTGTGGGTTTTCTTTAGTTGTGGCGAGTGGGGGCTACTCTTCACTGCGGTGCGCATGCTTCTCATTGCAGTGGCTTCTGTTGTTGCAGAGCACAGGCTCTAGGCATGTGGGCTTCACATGGGCTCAGTATTTGTGGCTCGCGGGCTATAGCGTGCAGGCTCAGTAGTTGTGGTGCACGGGGTTAGTTGCTCCATGGCACGTGGGATCTTCCTGGACCAGGGATAGAACCCGTGTCCCCTGCATTGTCAGGTGGATTCTTAACCACTGTGCCACTAGGGAAGTCCCCTTTTCATACTCTTAATGATGGCTTTTAAAGAAGAAAAGCTTTGAATTTTGATGTAGTCCAATTTATCAATATTTTCCTTTATAGATCATACTTTTGATGTCATATTTAAGAGCTTTGTCCAACTCAAGGTAATGAAGATTTTTTATATTTTCTTCTAGACGTTTTTAGCTCTTATGTTTAGGTTGATGATCCATGTTGAGTTAAATTTTGTGTGTGGTGTGAACCAAGGGTCTAAGTTGTTTTGTTTGTTTTTGCATGTGGATATTCAGTTGTCTCTGCACCATTCGTTGAAGAGCCCACCCTCTCCTCATCAAATTTTCTACATACTTTTGTCGAACATCAATTGTACATAAATGTAAGAATCTAATTCTAGATTCTCATTTCTGCTTCATTGATCTTTATGTCTACCCTTATGTCAGGACCATACTGCCTTAATTATTGTGGTTTCATAATAGGTTTTGAAATCAGGTTAGTGGAGGTCCTCCAACTTTGTTCTTTGTTTTCAGAATTGTTTTAGCTCTTCTAGATCCTTTGCAATTCCATATAAATTTTAGAATCAGCTTGTCAATTTCTACATAAAAGCATTCATAGACTTTTATAGGGACTGTATTAAATTTATCAATCAATTTGGAGAGAACTGCCATCTTGACAATATTGACTCTTCCAGGAACAAGGGATGTCTATTTATTTAGATATTCTTGAATTTCTCTCAGCAACATTTTGTGCTTTTCAGTGCACAAGAATTTCACTTCTTTTGTTAAATTTATTATTAAATATCTTATTTTTGATGCTATTGTGAATAAAACTGTTTCCTTAACTTCATTTTTGGATTGTTTCTCTGTTTTTGCTGACCATTTATTATTTGTCTCTGACCACTTATTATTTGGAAGTTGGAGGACTTCCACTAACCTGATTTCAAAACCTATTATGAAACCACAATAATTAAGACTGTATGGTACTGACATAAGGATAGACAATAAAGATCAATGAAGCAGAACTGAGAAACTAGAAGTAGATTCTTACATTTATGGCCAACTGATTTTCGACAATAGGGCTGGATGAATTAATGAGAAACTAAAAAGTGTTTTCATGTTTCTTACATAGATAAACTTTCAATGTACTTTTAAAAGCTTTTTCATGGCATAATTTATATACTGCATTGTATATTTATTTTTATAGACTTTTAAAATACAGTCTTCTTGAAAAGAGCAGAGACATCTTATTCATCTTTGTATTTCTGGCACACAGTAGTTAACTCAATAAATTTGTTGAATGAATGGAATATAGCAAAGCTGTGAATCAGCCATCCCTATTAAAAGGGAAGGGAAGAGCACTAGCTTTTTCAAGGATTAGGAATATATTTTAGAATATCTTTGTAACTTGCTTTAGTGACTCCTCATCATATAGGGTTTTGCACATAGTTCCTGACTGACTGCTAAGCAAGAGGGAGCTCATATCATAAACTCTGAGAACTTTCTCTCAAGAACTTCACATTCTCATAGCAAGAGATCTGCAAGGTAGTAGGTAATAAATCATTTATCTTTATCCTACAACTGCTGCTTCTCAAATGTCTAACTGTATCTAGAGGATTAATTAATGGGTAAAATCAATCTAAAATAACAGTTTAGGGATATAACCCTATGAGTAAGAAGTGCTTCCAAAAATATCTTCTACTTAAGATAAATGAGCTTTTAACTCTATTTTAGTTAAAAGCTAAAGAGGAAAAGTCTAATTCACTAGTAGGACTAAATCTAAAGATCTACCACATTAAAAAGACATCTCATGTTTAAGATGTGCTCCAAAATAATATGGAAGCAGGAAAAGTAGGAGCAGGGGTTATAGATGAAATAATACTGAACTAAACCAACTATACTTCAATTAGAAAAAAAAAAGACTGACCAAAATTGTTGAAGCTGGGTGATGGGTTCATTAGGGGTTTATTATACCATGCTATCTACTTTTGTGTAAATATTCCACAATAAACAGTTCCAACGAAAAAAATATCTTAATGGGATGGATACGACAGAAATTTCTGTCACAGAAATAAAGTATGTAGTAGGCAAATCCTTTTTGTGTACAGATATCTTTAGAACAAATTTTGTTCAAAAATCTGAACTTTTAAATCTCCAAGACAATTTTCAATTTTCTTTGAATAAATCTTCAGCAGAAAATACTGAGGAACAGGTCTAAATTACTTAGAGAAAAAAAAAAAAGCCAAAAAAAATTCAAAATTGCCCAGTGCTTTGACTTTTCTTTATAAAGAAAATCACCAAAATTCCTTTCTGCTCTAAAAATATTACTGAAAATAAACTAAAAACTTAGTGCTGCTCCTTATTATACCCACTTATAAAAGGTTTATAACTTTCATAACAGGTTGGAAACAAAAAGAGGGCCTGAGAACTATTAATTTCATAAAGCCATGAGTTTCTTAACAAACAGTAAACTGTTAGAGAAAATGGCAAATCAGTCATAATTTCCAAAGAAGATTCTTTTTTCAAGTGTAACAAATTTGACTGATGCATTTAGGGATAACTAAAAGGAATTACAACACAGAAGAAGAAAAACCCAAGAGAAAAGAAAGAAAAAAAAGTAAACTCTTCTCAAAATATTCCCTAGAGGTCACAATTTAGTTCTGAGAAAAATGTTTTCTACTCTTGGCTTCAAGTTAAGTAACTACAACTTGAAAATATGACAGAATATACTGGAGAAAAACCCTGTTATCTTCCTTCCCAGCTTCATCTCCAAAATAAAAGAGAAAGCAAACAAGCAGATGCAACTAATTACTCAACTGTAACTCACCTGCAGGAAACATGAATCGCATTTCTCTTTCTGCTGCAGCAAAATCATTACTTCCATGAAGTGCATTCCTTAGCTCATCTGTGCCATAAATTGCCCTTAGACTAAAAGCAAGTTAGAGATGATGACCATCCAATCTGACATACTTTCTTTACTTTTTACATATGCATTCTATTTAGGAATTTTACAGAAGCATCGCCACTTCTCACATATGGAGGTCTTAATCTATTTTGAATTTAAGCATAAATCTATCTACATGAGGGTCAAGTATATTTAAATCTGTGGGAGGGATACACTGGAAAAATAAGAGTTACCTGGGTGAAAAAGGGGTGTTGTTTTGTGACAACTGAAAAAGCAATGCATTTTCAAAGTGCAAGAACTCAGTGCCCTCTGGTTTCCAGACATTAATGATAATGCTGAAAATCTGAGTTTCTGGTCCTGCATTACCAATATTCTATAAAATACCATACCAATTTTCCCATGAAAAATCCTACACCAGTGGCAGTTTAATTCAAGGATGAGAGAAAAATAAGGCTAGTCAATCATAAATCAAAATTCTCTGAGACCTTTTGTGGTATTTGATATTAAAATACACATTTAAGTAGTTAAAACACAAAATGGACCTCCCCCACCCAGCCCTCCACCACCACCAAAAAAAATCAGGTTATTTAGGAAAACTTTCAAATTAAAGGAAATTCCTATTACAGTGAAATCAGATTTTTTTTTTCATTTTCATAGTTGGATTCCATTTTTCCCCCAGGAAAGTTACCTGTCTGGGTGTGTCTCCTTAGCTACTAAGCTATTACTTGGTCCCAAGAGTTCTTTCCAGTAAGAGATGGCTTTAAGTCTAGCTAATATCATGGCAACAAGTGGTCCAGAACTCATGTAAGCTGTTAAATTGGGGAAAAACATTTTCCCATACTGTTCCACATAAAAGTTACTACAGTGCTCAGGGCTGAGATGCAGTTTTCTTCTCTAAAAGAGAAACAAAATCAACAAAAGCTTTATTGACAGTTCAATAATACCTCATTAAGTCATTAATAACTTGAAATTAGTACCAATCTGACCACAAATTTGAGATTTATTTTTGTATTATGAACAAAGGGCAAGATAAGAAAGTTAAATGTAGGCTGTATATAAGAATTATTTAACCTACTTAAGAAAAACTATTCCTGTTGGGCAGCCTCTTTCAACATATGGTATATTAATGACAAATTCATCATATCTCCTTCTTAAAGTAAAAACATGCCAATCATCAATATTCTGTTAATACATACTTTGTACAAAGCAACAAAATTGAGGGGCTTCCCTGGTGGCACAGTGGTTGAGAGTCCGCCTACCGATGCAGGGGACACGGGCTCGTGCCCCGGTCCGGGAAGATCCCACATGCCACGGAGCGGCTGGGCTCATGAGCCATGGCTGCTAAGCCTGCGCATCCGGAGCCTGTGCTCCGCAACGGGAGAGGCCACAACAGTGAGAGACCCACGTACCGCAAAAAAAAAAAAAAAAAAAGTAACAAAATTGGACTTTAGAATATTCCAAATTCATCTTTCCCTATTTGTGATATTTTCCTATTCATTGTGAAATTTTCCTACATATTTTAGGGAGCTGGTCTCATTATGGTATTTAGAAATAGTACGCAGTATAATGATGCAGTAAACAAGTTTTTCACTTGAACATGAAAGTTGTATATTCTTTATTCTGGTTCTGCCATAAATATGTTGATTCACTATGATCTTAAGAATAATTAGTTAACATTAAGTTTGTTAATTTGAAAGAATATGAAATGTTTGGGACAAATAAATGTTAAGTTTGTTCACAAATGAGCAACTATATGAATTATTAAATTTTAAAAACCATAGAAGCTGAGTCAGTCATTCTTCCAATTAGAAAGCATCACATTTTCCCTAAGAGCAACTATTTGAGTATATCTTATTTATTTATTTATTTCTGGCTGTGTTGGGTCTTCGTTGCTGCGCACGGGCTTTTCTCTAGTTGTGGCAAGAGGGGGCTACTCTTTGTCGCCATACACGGGCTTCTCGTTGCGGTGGCTTCTCTTGTTGAGGAGCACAGGCTCTAGGCACATGGGCTTCAGGAGTTGTGGCAGGTGGGCTCAGTAGTTGTGGCTCGCGGGCTCTAGAGTGCGGGCTCAGTAGTTGTGGTGCACGGGCTTAGTTGCTCCGTGGCATGTGGGTCTTCCTGGACCAGGGCTTGAACCCGTGTCCCCTGCATCGGCAGGCGGGTTCTTAACCACTGCGCCACCAGGGAGGTCCCTTGAGTACATTTTTTAAAAAATCACTCCATTACTGCTGTTTATCAAATCCACTAAAGGTGGATCAGGAGGGAAAGGGCTCAAAATAGAATAGAGGGATTCAAAGTAGACATCAAGGAAAACTTGCTGGAGTAAGGATGATGAGACATGGAGATAAATTACTAGGGGAAGGCTAAAAATCTCCAAGATTAAGGCAGATATCTATCTTTCTAAAATGGGTTAGAGGGCTTCCCTGGTGGCGCAGTGGTTAAGAATCTGCCTGCCGATGCAGGAGACATGGGTTTGAGCCCTGGTCTGGGAAGATCCCACGTGCCGCGGAGCAACGAAGCCCGTGCGCCACAACTACTGAGCCCGCGCTCTAGAGTCCGTGAGCCACAACTACTGAGCCTGTGTGCCACAACTACTGAAGCCCACGTGCCTAGAGCCCATGCTCCGCAACGAGAAACCACTGCAATGAGAAACCCGGGTACTGCAACAAAGAGTAGCCCCCGCTCGCCGCAACTAAAGAGTAGCCCAAGCGCAGCAATGAAGGCCCAATGCAGCCAAAAATAAATAAATATATTTATTTAACTAACTAAATAAAATAAAATGGGTTAGATTTTCCTGAAAGTACAGTGTGAATTTTACCAAGTGACCTACCTCTTAAAGTCCCTTCCAAAACTATCATGTGTCTTCAAGTTTTAGAAACTTGATAAAATTGCTTGGTTTGTAGAGAGAGATCTAAACTGCCCAGAGCAAGAATCTTGTAGAAATGCTTACTAGGTAGGTCAGCAATGCTATGAACAGGCTCTACTGGACAAACATAACGTTCTCACTAGTCAAGGATCAGTTACAGTACTGTAAAAAAAAAAAAAAAAAAAAAAAAAGGTGCTGACATCTATTCACATATTAAAATTCATATAGTCAAGAAATAGAAGAAATTTGAGAAGTTATAACAGTGCCTGATTTAGTATAATCCTTGATTCTATTATTTAAAATTAAGATATGCCAGTATTTGTGATTCTTATGCATATTGATTTGAGTGCTTTTTTTTCTGCATTGTAAGCCCTTATCTGCCATTATACCCCTTAACAAGCAAGGGAAGCTATATTCTGCAGGTATGCTAGCTAATGCAGCGTAATTTTAAAAATTAACGGCTCATCTTAAACTAAAGTTGATACTGAATCAGTGATTCCATCAGTTGCTTTAAAATTAGATCAGATAAACTTTTTTGGAATTTAGATTAATATTTTCACAAAGAGGGAATTCCCTGGCAGTCCAGTGGTTAGGAGTCTGTGCTTTCACTGCCAAGGGCATGGGTTCAGTCCCTGGTAGGGGAACTAAGATCCCGCAGCCGCGGCCAAAAAATAAATAGAAATCAACAACAACAAATATTTTCACAAAGAGGAGTCATTAGTTTGTAACACAGGAAAGGCTGCCACCTACTGAAAGAATACATCATATTTTAGGAGTTTTTTCCTAGATGGGACAAGAAAGCCTCAAGTTCAAGGAACTCCCACCTATAATAGAGCCTACTTTTAAAGCATACAATACAAAGGACAAATGATTCCACTGACATGAGACACCTGGAATAGCAAAGTCATAGAGACAGAAAGTAGAATAGTAGTTACCAGGGGTAGGGAGAGGGCTAAACGGGTAGCTAGTGTTTAATGTGTACAGAGTTTCAGTTTGAGATGACGAAAAAGTTCTAGAGATGGATAGTGGTGATGGCTGCACAACAGTGTGAAGGTACTTAATTCCCCTGAAATGTACGCTTAAAAATGGTTAAAAAGGTAAATTTTATGTTGTGTATATTTTATCACAATTAAAACAAAAAAGAAGCATACAATATACCAAGGCGTTCTTTGGTTTGAAACTTCTTGCTGACTAGGGAAAGTGTTAAATATTAGCATTTACACTAAGTTGGTTTTTTTTTAAACACTGTTTTAATTTATAGTTATCATTAACTCCTTAATTATTAAGTTTTTCACTAATTCTTTTCAAAATATGGACTTAAAAGACAAATTGGAAACTTTATATTATTTGTATACTTTCTTTCTCAAATTAATGAGTAATATACTTACAGGGTTAAAAAATTCAAAGCAATATAAAAAGGTTTATATGAAAAATCTCATTCCCATCCCTGTCCTAACCCAGCCTGTTCTTCCTCACCCTCAATATGCAACCATTTTTAATGGTTATTTATCTCCTAGTTTCATTTTGCAAATACCGGCAAACATGTATATTACTTTTTCTCTTTCTATCATAGAAAGTAGCCACACATTGTACTGCATCTTGCTTTTTTCCATAAAAGGACACAGAGAGGTTTATAATTAGTTGCATAGTATTCAATTTGGTGGATCGCCAGGGTCAATTTAACCAATCTTCTAATGCTGGGGTGTTTTCAATCTTTTGCTTGTAAATAAATAATGCTGCAAAAAATAACCTAGATACAGGTCACTTCATATTAATACATGGGTTATAGGAGAGATTCCCAGAAGAGTACTGCTGGGTTTAAGGGTATATGCATCTGTAATACTGATAGATAATTGCCAGATCCCCTTCCATAGGGGTTATGTCATTTACTTTTATATTCTTGCCAGATGGTATCTCAGTGTCATTTTAATTTGCTTTTTTCCTGCTTAGAGATTGAGCATCTTTTCCTATGTTTCAGAAACATTTGTTTTTCTTTTTCTGTGACCATCCACATGTACTGCCCATTTTCAAGTGAATTTTTATCCTGTTCTAGCAGCTTTTTATATACTAGGGAGATTAGCCTTTGTGATATGAATTACAAATCTTCTTCCCAAGTCTTGCCATTTGTGTTTTGACTTTGCTTAATATGTTTATTTGGCCATGTGCAAGTTTTTTATATTTATATATATATATATATATATTTTTTTTTTTTTTTGCGGTACGCAGGCCTCTCACTGTTGTGGCCTCTCCCATTGCGGAGCACAGGTTCTGGACGCGCAGGCTCAGCAGCCATGGCTCACAGGCCCAGCTGCTCCGTGGCATGTGGGATCTTTCCAGACCGGGGCACGAACCCATGTCCCCTGCATCGGCAGGCTGACTCTCAACCACTGCACCACCAGGGAAGCCCCTATATTTATACTTTTATCAATCTTTTCCTTTACAGTACCTAGACTTTATTTTTTTTTTAAGTAAATTTATTTATTTATTTATTTATGTCTGTGTTGGGTCTTCATTGCTGCACATGGGCTTTCTCTAGCTGCGGCGAGTGGGGGCTACGCTTCGTTGCAGTGCATGGGCTTCTCACTGCGGTGGCTTCTCTTGTTGCGGAGCACAGGCTCTAGGCACACGGACTTCAGTAGTTGTGGCGTGTGGGCTCAGTAGTTGGGGCTCACGGGCTCTAGAGTGCAGGCTCAGTAGTTGTGTCACATGGGTTTAGTGGCTCCGCAGCACGTGGGATCTTCCCGGACCAGGGCTCAAACCCACGTCCCCTGCATTGGCAGGTGGATTCTTAACCACTGTGCCACCAGGGAAGCCCGAGTTTTCTCCTTTTTCTATTTTTTAAAAGATTCAATAGGCAATATGACACTGTATATTTATTAGAGAATAAAAAACTGAAATTTCAAATAAGGATGGTAGAGAAAAAAGGAAGATTAAAAATATTCCATTCTAAAGACGCAGACATAGAGAATGGACTTGAGGACATGGGGAGGGGAAAGGGTAAGTTGGGTCGAAGTGAGAGAGTGGCATGGACATATATACACTACCAAATGTAAAATAGATAGCTAGTGGAAAGCAGCTGCATAGCACAGGGAGGTCAGCTCGGTGCTTTGTGACCACCTAGAGGGGTGGGATAGGGAGGATGGGAGGAAGATGCAAGAGGGAGGAGATATGGGGATATATGTATATGTATAGCTGATTCACTTTGTTATAAAGCAGACACTAACACACCCTTGTAAAGCAATTATACTCCAATAAAGATGTTTAAAAAAAATTCCATTCTATTTGTTAAGCTTTTTTAAATTTGATAATGTTTAACAACACTCTATATTCATTTTCAAAACTACCAACTGCAGAACAAGTATAAGGCTTAAAACATTAAAAGTTTGTAAATAACTGGAAAAAAAAAAAAACCAACCAAAAAAACACCCAACAGGGGTTTCCCTGGTGGCGCAGTGTTTGAGAGTCCACCTGCCGATGCAGGGGACATGGGTTCGTGCCCCAGTCTGGGAAGATCCCACATGCCGCGGAGCGGCTGGGCCCGTGAGCCATGGCCGCTGAGCCTGAGCGTAAAAACACCCAACAGTCAAGAGAAGACCAAGTAAATAGACTGTGACTCACCTGTACAGAAGAGTATTACACAGAAGTTAGGAAGAATGAGATAGATTCAGATGTAATGATCTGGAATGCTATCTGAGGGACTCTGTAAAGGGGGTCAAGGGAAGGGGACTGTCCTACTTTATGGGGGAAAAATGTTTGTAAATGCATTAAAAAAATCCTGGAAGAACAGGGAAGTGTTAAGTGGTTGCCTCTCTCTGGAGTTTAGGACTTGAGCTGGGAGAGGAGAGATGGAAGAAAAAGAAATTTTACTTCTCATTTTATATCCTTTTGAAATGTGAAAAAACTTTTGTAATATTATCACATATAACTTTTATACTTACAAGAATAAACCTAAATTTCATGCTAAATACTAAGGATCTAAATGGGCTAACACATTTACATAAATATTTTTAAAAGGTAAAATCAAAGGTAATCTTGGACTTCCCTGGTGGCGCAGTGGTTAAGAATCTGCCTGCTAAGGCAGGGGTCACAGGTTCGAGCCCTGGTCGGGGAAGATCCCACATGCCGCGGAGCAACTAGGCCCGTGCGCCACAACTAATGAGCCTGTGCTCTAGAGCCCACAAGCCACAACTACTGAAGCCTGCGTGCCCAGAGCCTGTGCTCCGCAACAAGAGGAGCCACCGCAATGAGAAGCCCACGCACTGTGACAAAGAGTAGCCCCTGCTCACTGCAACTAGAGAAAGCCCGTGTGCAGCAATGAAGACCCAATGCAGCCCAAAATAAAAATAAATAATAATAAATTAATTTAAAAAAATAAGGTAATCTAAAATAACAGTTTAGGGATATAACCCTATGCCTAAGAAGAGTTTCCAAATATATCTTCTACTTAAGTGAATTTTAAATTCTATTTTAGTTAAAAGCTAAGGAGGAAAAGCCTAATTCACTAGAGAGAAAAAAAACATGATGATCCTGCCCAGAAGTTACCTGAACAATGGTGAATCCAGATCTGAGAATAATATCTTGTATCTCCTCCTCTTTGTCAACAATATCTGGTTTGATAATGGCCAGAGTCTTTTCTACATAGATCTGAGGTGGGGGCATTGATAGCTCCATTCTGGCTTTTCAGTGTACAATTTAAGAGATTCTTGACTGGTATCAACTGTAATGATAGGCACCCCCCCAACCCAAATTTAATGTAATTGTGACTAAAGAGCATTATCAGGTGCTTAATTTTATTAATTTATAAAGCTGAAAACTGTCACACCTTTTTCAACAAGCAGCGTCTCAATAATACGATTTCTACTCTGCGTCTAAGTCCTGCGGTGAGTTTTCCTAAGCACTTTCATGGAGGTGGAGAGACCAAGGAGCAAGGCGAAAGCCTAGGACCCTGGGGACCCAGGAGGAGACTAGGTCTGCAACCCTCCGCGCTGCTCAGCGGCCCGCGCCCCGCCCCCCGCCCCCCCCCCACGCCCGCCCCGGGGAAGCTTAGCATCAGGCCCGGTTGAAAAGCAGAATCCCTGACCCTCTGTGGGGTGCACCCCCAGATTCCTGCCGAATCCGACCCTCATCTGGGCACTCACCTCAGCCCGGGCTCCTGGAGAGTCACCACATGTTGTTGCTAGGAGACCGGAAACCCAGCTTAGAGACGGTGGCTGCAGAGGCCCAATTCCAGCACAGCGCTTGGCAGCCCTTGGCTAGCTCAAGAAAGGGAACCAGCCACAGGCATTTTTATTCCCCTTGCACATCTTAAAAGCAATAGACGTTTTCTAACATTTTCCTCATAATTTATCTTACTCCATCCTCCTAGCCATTCGAAGGACACTTCAATTATCTCCACTTTATAAATGATGAGACAAATCATACACACTTTCCCTCGTCCTACCCCAGCCCCTTCCAGACAGTGTATGTAAGAAAACCCATGTTAAATACCTTCCTTATTTCACCAGATAATGCTATCCCCTCTATTCCCAGCTTCTGTAAACATTAAAAGGCAATCTTTGACTTGTGAAATAACATTTATTTAAAGAGCAGTATAAGAAGTTTCATCTATTTACCTCTAAATTAAGCCTATGAAACAAAGACATGGGCAACATATATGGCATAACCCCAAATCTCAGCTTTCTGTGTTTTCTTTATATTATGTCCACGGGCACCTTTAATTCTTTGGTTGTAAGTTAAGGCATTATTCTTATTGGAAAAGAAAACAGAGAAGTGGTAAACAAGTACTGGGATCTTCTCTAGGTCAGAGTCTCAATGAAAGATCCAAATTCCAGAAAAGTTCAGGGTAGCAGCTCCAAGTTAGCAAAACAGGTTTTCCATCATCCATGGGGTTGGTTAGTTCTCATTCCAGACTATTTAAGACTCTTCTTTCATCTAACCAAATACTCAGCACCTACAGGGTCAAGGCAGACAACAAGCTATGAAGCTTTATGGAGGTTTGAAAGCAGTTTTGTTTCTTTCTCCGCAGAGATTCAACTACATTTTTTTTCTTTAAAGTAAGAAGCTGCCCAGAAAAGAAGCCCTCAAATGTCTTCTTCTGGCTACCATATCTTATCTCCTATAGATGGGACAATGTGAACATATATTAATACCAACAGGTACAGCAACCAAAAAATGGACAGTGACTCCAGCCTCTGGTTTGCATGTTTAGCCCTCTGACTTGAGGCTCTGGAAGCAGATGCGCCCATTATTTATCTATCCCCAGGTCTCTTAAGAGCTCTTCACTGCTGCCTGCCTTCCTAGACTATTTTACTTCACTATCTATTAAAGCTAGTCCCACAGAGGCTCAGAGTTTTCCAAACCAGCAGGTACAATGTCAGTCCTTCAGGTCCTTGAATCACCTCTGAACATAAACTCTGGGAACGCAAGGTCACTTCAACACCACCCTTATTCTCACAGACTTTCTAAAATCAGATTCCAGAAACTACTTTCCTTTTTCTTGCAGCTCTCTACCTACAGTACCTGAATCTGTTCCAAGACTTCTCGCTGCATCTCCACAGCCATACGGTACACCTGATGATCAGAGTCATTGTACATCACAGCGTTCTGGAACATCAGCATCAGGTCCCTCTGGAACTGAGCCACGGTGCGAATACGTCCCTTAGACAGGTTCCTTTTCAGGCTAGTTAAGTCCATGGGTCTACAGGTGGCCAAGAGAAACCAGAGGAAATCAAACCTTCATGTGGAACATGTGGTGACCTAACATGCTCTCCTGAATAACTAACCAGCTCTTAATGAAAACAGTAGTAAAGATAACAATCCCCATCAGATAATAAAATAGCAATGGCAGCTAACATACGACTGCTTACAATAAGCCAAGTGCTATGCTAGATACTTTCTATATGAACTCACTTGATCCTCTCAATAAACCTATATGGTAGGTACCATTGTCACAATTGGCAATGAGGAAACTGAAATCAAAGAAGTTAGGTACTTGCCCAAAGTCACACAGCTTAGTTTCCAATTCAGAAACAGCCTGACTCCAGAGCCCACAGGCCCAGCCATTTCACTTTACAATTGGAGGTATCAAAGTTATAAAGAGCTCCAATGATCAGTTTGTCACAGGGTAGTTACTGACCGATTGTTTACAATGTGTAGTCATATACTAGGTATTTAATCAACTGTTTTTACTGTATCATCAAAAGCTCAGAGGTTTTTTTCTTCTTTCATGGAGATGAAAAGAGGATCAAGTGAATATTAAGGTAAATATTATATAATGCGACACAGAGAGTGGGTATATAAAAGGCGGCACAGCAGCGTAGAAAGAGGACTGAACTGGGAGGTAAGACTCTGGGGTTTAGTTCTAGCTCTGCTATTCACTGTTGATCACAGACAAGTCATGACCACCTCTGAGTCTTAGTTTCCTCATCTACAGAATTAAGGAGTCTGTCTCCAAAGGTTCTTTTCTGATCTTTTATACACTACTAACACACACTGGTTTATGAGAGCATTTTAGATGAACTATGCTATAAAAACCCAAAATACTGCAATCAACCAGTGTTTATAACATCCATTTGGATTACCATCTTTGCCTTAGCATACCTATAACTGCCTGAATGAATACAGTGTTCCTTTTAAAGTTGTGCTCTGAAATAACAGTGCCGAAAACTACCAAAGGCAAATGTAAGATTATAATAAATGGATATTACTTAAAAGTCAATACTGATAAAAGCCTCTTTATCCTTTTGTTCCCTATATTCTCAAATGAGGACTGAGCTTACCTTACCATAACTTTATAAACTTGTTCAGCTGTAAAATATATCTTGAGCTTAAGTAATGTAAATGAAATAATGTAATAAAATAAATATAAATAAATAAATATAAATATAATATATATAAATATATATAAATATATAAATATAAATAAATAAATATAAATAAATAAAATAAAATAATGTAAATGAAATAAACAGATGTGAAATAAAGTATGAAAAGACAGATATAAAAGCAACCAACCTTTCTTGACCCCTTTGCCACTGACCTTTTCACCACATCCTTGTATCCTGGGGCCTGCCTTTCTGACACAGGCTTCAGAAACAGACTGCTGAACCTGTTAAGGGACAAACCCAGAGAGGATGAAGAAACCCTGGAAAGTCACCCTAAATGAGAAGAGTGGCTGTGAATACCAAGAGTGGCTTGGAGTCCTACCTGTGACTGGCTATCATCTTCCAGACTGGCAGGAGAGTCTTCTTAAATAGCAAGTGATCCTGAACAGGGTCACTATGGCCTAGATCAGACCTATAGGATAAAGCAGAGCAGAAAACAAACAGTAACTTCACAAATGGTATTCTGTTCCCCCTAGATGCTTGATAAGGTTTCCTCAACACATAGTGCTCCTAGTTAACATCTGAAGGAAATAACACCACAGGAATGAAAACATGCTTTCATAAAGGACCCCAGACTCTATAAATATTCTCTTACTGATCAGTATTATCAAATGAAGTGGTTAAATTCTTGTAACGTGTACTAAAAATAGGCAACTGCCTTTGCCTTTTGGAATCTTGCTGATTTGCCCTTTAGCACCTGTGACTTTAAAGAACTGGTCTATAAAAGTAGTCTTTGTTCACTGATGTCTCCCAAGTTCCTGGTACATACTAGGTGCTCAAATAAGTATTTGATAAATGAATCTGGTCCTGTTTTTTTATGCAGAAATATGCCACATTAAGAAGTATCTCTCCCATACTTCCAGAGGAAAAAAATACTTGGTTTCATATCCCAAGGAATTCTCTTACACTTCATCTGAATGCTATACAATTTAAATATTTTTCCTTTTCACTCTCCTCTGTATAGTAATCTTTAAAATACCAAGAAAAATCCATTTCTCCTCATGGTCCTTCCTTCTCTGGGCTAAACTGCCTAATTTATTTAGTTTTTCTTTAGAGGTGCAACTGCTCAATGTTTTATTTCATTTTATAATTTTCCCAGTTGGCAAGTTTTCTATTTACCCCAAAGTTAAACATCATGTTACACTTCACACTTTATACACTGCATTATTCTCTCTAAATAGGCTCTCTTCACACCTAAGGTTTCACACCCTCATTTTGCTTTATGTACCACATTGTGTGCATCCATCTGAGCACAACTCATACCTTATCATTCTCCAATTTGAACAGCTCCACATAACTATTCATTTTCATGATGCACTATCTCACCTGTATCTAAATTACATACCACAAAAATCAATTTTTCCTTAAGCCCAGAACCCTATAAGAACAAGGGACTTAAAGCCCAAAGCAAACCTCTTCCTTTGTCTCTGATCAGTCAGTCAGAATAAACAATAGGTCCTTGGTACTGATGCAATTTTGTTCATATAGCCACAGAACAGGTATTTATTGTTTCCATTACGTGAAAGGTACTACAATAGGTTTTGTAACTTCATAATCAATCACCTTTGCAATATTTTAAGAAACAATCCCTTGCTTACCTTTATTTCCATCTATTTGAAATGCATGCCAAGCAACTACAAGTGAAAGTGTGGGAGTGGAAAGGATATGCACTTAGACTGGTACTCCAAAGGTTCTACTTTACTCCTGAGAGTCAGTACAGACTAAGGAAGAAGCCAGAAAAGAGGGGCCTAGGGAATGTCCATCTTTCAAAGTAGTTTTAAGGTTCCCTAGTGATAGCACAAGAACTCAAATGCCTATCTCCCCTTAAGCTATCTAGCCAAGCAGACTCAATTACTAATATCTACTGCTTTCTAATAAAGATTTCATGTTTAACCTAAATTCTAAGATAAGAGTGTGGTATTTGCGTTTCAAGATGCTGAAATGTCATGAGATAAAACATCCCAGATTATTAAAGATTTCCCGTTTTGGGGATAGTCATCATATGCCATCTGCTCATACTCACAAACGGAGTTATAGAAAAGCAAAGGAAGCAATTCTTCAACAAGTTAGGTTTTTAGCTGTATTCTATTTGTGTAACAAAAATTTGTAATCTGCTATTTACAAAAATATATATGCATGGTTCAGTTGTATACCTTAAACAAAAGAAGGCTAAAATAATTACTGGTTTGCCTCCCCACAGATAATGTGGGTGGATCTGGGATACATCAAAGAAAAAAAAACCAGTTCATACTATCTCCTCTCAATACTTAGACACAAAACTAGGCCCAGAAGATGAACTATTTGTTATATAACAAAAATAACTTTGTTTTTCTGATTTAAAAAGAAATTCACTTTACTGAAAAAAATTAAGATTCTAAAATGTGACCTCTGGCCCCATAGTTATTTATGTTAAAATCAGACAATTATATAAACAATTTCCCAAGATGTGTGAAAAAGGAACAAGGGCGATAATAACTTAAAAATAATTTTTAATTTCAAGTTAATAGGAAATGTTTTAGTATTTTTAAAAGTAGAATTTGTATAATATTAGACTTGAGTGACAATCTGACTCAGCAACGTTTCCTGAATAAATACAGAGAGAAGGATTACTTATGAAAGAGATTCTTAATGTTGATAAAACAGTCTTGTTTTATAAGATGAAAGCATATAGGCTTCTATTTATACAGTAAAATTATATTTAATTATATTTCTAGTGTTTTCGAGCTCTAATTCTCTACTTTTCAATTTACAAAAGTAATCAATGTCCGTGGCAACAAATTCAAGTAGGCGTAAACAGATGTAAAAGTATTAATCCTAACAACATGGGATAAAAGTCTATACTTACAGCTTTGAGGAGGTAGCATGGCTGAAAAGGATATCCACCAGAGGAGTCTCCTGGATGCTGAAGCTATCATCACACTCACCTGAAGAACGCTGGTCTTCCATCTCTGACACATACCCTTCACTCTGGTCCTGCTCTTTGGATTCTTGCTGAACCTCCCCCTGGGAATGCCAGGAAACAAAGGAAAGTTTAGAAAGAGATTTACTATCTTCAAGGTAATTTTTCTTGTATGGGGTAAATGAAGGCTGACCTTAAGGTAAGAATAGGCCAGTTATATAAAGTTATAGAATAAGTTGGAGAAAGGTGACTTGACTAGACCTAAGACAAAGAATTCTTAGAGAACTCTGACTCTGTATCCCAAGAAAAAATGAAAAAGCAATATACTCTATTCTAGATAGATGCTGTTTTCTTTTAAAACTGTCATTATTACTTGTGGCCCTGGAGCTAACTAGTCTAGCTGGCCAGATAATATTAATGATAATGGTATTCTAAATTTTACTGATTGCTTACTATGAGCCAGGGACTATGCTAAGTGCTGCACGTGAATTATCTCATTTAAAACTCACAGTACACGTGTAAGGTAGAGACAATTATTCCATTTCAGCAGAGAAAACTGAGGTTCTAAAATGTTCACTAGGGCTTCCCTGGTGGCGCAGTGGTTGAGAGTCCGCCTGCCGATGCAGGGGACACGGGTTCATGCCCCAGTCCGGGAGGATCCCACAAGCCGCGGAGCGGCTGGGCCCGTGAGCCATGGCCGATGGGCCTGCACGTCCGGAGCCTGTGCTCCACAACAGGAGAGGCCACAACAGTGAGAGGCCCACACACCGCAAAAAAAAAAAAAAAAGTTCACTAGCCTGCCTAAGCCTACACAGCTAACTGATGCTAAAACCAGGATTTAGACCCAGGTAACTGAACTCTCTGGAGTTAGCCTATGTTCTCTAACCATTCTGCCTGCCTCTTTGTGCAGAGGACTGATCAGACAGCTGGTTTAAGTTATTCACTTACCTCTTCACTCGCTGTGGGTTGTTCCTGAAGTGCCCAAATATCTGAGGGAGGTGGAGCCACCTCTGGCCTTCCATTTTCTCCCAGTAATGACTTCTCAGTTACCAAGGGGTCTACCTTGGCTGAAAGCTCTTCAGGCTCTTTGCAGGGCTCCCCCTCTCCTTCAGTAGCTTCAATTCCCCTCGCCTCTTGTTGTCTGGTGCCAGATGAAGGGCAGCAGCCTTCACCTGATTCTTTGCTGCTAATGCACAACGGCTCCATTAAATAGACTACCTGCAATCATAGTTTACTGTTAGATGTATAAGAACACCAGTGGAAATCATCATCTACATATCAATAATGCCACATCATTACACTACCACTGTGACTAAGTTTGAGATGGTAAGGGTTAATTGATTCATTCAGTCATTTTAAATTTATCAAATATCTTATATACACAGGTACTGGGCTAATTGGTTGGGACCTAACAGTAAACAAGATAGACATGATTCTTGCCTCAAGGAGCTTATGTTCTAATTTTTCATCTCAAGTGTCAACTCGAATCAACTGGTAACGTCTAAAAAACTGCTGAAAACTTCGTCTGCCACAAACAATGCAGACAGAATTGGGAATATGTGAACAACTGGCAAGACCAGATTCTTGCTGGTCTTGACCTAGGTTCTACTGAATATGTAGAGTTGCCACATAAATATAAACTCTCTGTCCAACTCTCTTTATTTCTGGTCCTCAGCCCTTCACTAGGGAAATACAAACACTGCAAAATATTGCCTGGAAGTCTTAACATTATAAGCTTCAAGGGGAGTTTGGGCAAGTGTCACCTCCCATGACTCTGAAAGAATGAATTACAAGGATACTCCTAAAGACAGGCCTATATACAGAAATCCCACTTCCTCTGATCAGGCTCCTAATGACTGGGATCTTAGAACATTCAGTCAAAAAGTACATATTTGGCACATGTTTTGTATCAGCACCAAGTGCTAGAGACACAGAAATGAACTCAGTTCCCGCCTATGTGGACCTTATATTTTAGTAAACAATAATGAGAGCGGTAGATATATGGTTAAACATTCTCTTAGGAAGTTGAGATTCTTCCCACCTTTGGAAATAATGGCTCCCCATTACCTCAGAGAGAAAGTGGAGGAGGTTCTGGCGGCTGACTTGCTCCGCCTCTTCCTGAGATTCCTCACTGCCACTGTCCCCCACAAGCAGCTCACGAGGTTCTCTCCCTGGGCTGCTTTCCTCTAGTTCCTCAGCCCCTGGCTCCTCAGTTTCCCTCCAGCTGCCCAAATCAAGATCCAAACTGGAGTCCCATGAGCTGAAGAGTGACCTGCAATCGTTGCTCAACTCAGAGTCATTGGGATAGTCTTGTTCAGAATCCAACCAAACCCATTCATGCCCCATCTGTAAATACACAGAAAAAAATGCATTAAATTCACTCAAATCAATATTCCTAAGGCATTTCCATCTCCCAATTTTGGTAGAAAGATAAGGGGTCAGAAATTTTTTTCAACTCAACATTAGGAAGAGTAAAAACTAGCTGAAGGGAGACATCAAGAGAAAAAGTGATCTGTCATTGGGAATAAAGAAAAAGCCCTATGTCAAGCAGTATAATAGAATTATCACCCAATAATTATTTGTTGTTAGATTTCCTCACACTCTAAAAGAGAAAAAACTGGAGCATTGCTAGCTGAAATGAATGCCTCTATCCCAAACCACCCTTAAACTCAACTGCAAGGCAACAATTTTGATGGACAAGGGATCTTTTCCTCAGCATACAGACATTTTTAACCTATCAACCATTAAATCCTCAATGCATACTAAGATACCTGTGGCATCCTTCTGGTCATATCCAGCTCTCACTTCTCAGAAAGAGAACTGCAAATCAAGTTTTAAAAATATCTTTCCTTGTTTTCAGTACACTGCACTCCTGGTTTTCTTAGTCCTTCATCCTCTCCCTTTTACTACCTTAATACATCCATCTTCTATGTTCTTGTTTGGGCCTCTGCCTCCTTAATATGTCCTTAAAACAATGCAGCTACTTTGACGTTTCAACTTTGATCTTTATTAAGGTGGCTTCCAAATCTCTCCACCTTTACTTTTTATATGCATTCTGGTCTCATTTCTCCACGTACCCAAAGGTCAACTCCCTTAGGTGCCCTACCATCTCCTTCAACTCAACACTTATAAAACTAAAATCACTTTTCTTTCTGAACATCTCTCAATAATTTGCTCTCCCAAAATTCCTTATGCCGATCATCAACACTATTTTCTTACTCCTGTTTTGACTCTTTCTTCTCTTATATTCAGTAAACAAGTCCACTTGCCAATTTTCTTCCACAATAATTTTTCTTAATGCCCATCCTTTACATCTGAATAAATGTGATAGCCTCCTGGTCAGTTTCTCTATTCTTAATCCAACCTGCTCTGAATAGTCTCCCTATTCAATGCTTTACAATAGCTATCACCTCAAATTTCTCAATCTGTCACTCAAAGCCCTCCATAAATCAAGCTCTATTTTGTCCCCTTAGCCTGGTACCTGTAATTCACTATTCTTTAATATGATTCCTAATTACATTAGTCTCCTTATTTCCCCCACCTCAGATGCCTATACCTTAATTTAGCTTGCTAAGCTTGTAAATCACGTTCTCTACCAACTCAAAATCTACGTCCTTTAATGGACCTCTTCCTCCACAAACTTCTCCAACTTTTAGGGCTCCGTTGCTTGTATCACATGCATGTTTGCAGACTGCTTTGGGAATGTACTGTAATTGTACTTTAATTTTCTAACTCCTGGATTGATTGAACTATCACTCACAAAGACGGTATCTTCTACTTCCTTAGGATCCTAGCAAGCTTTATAGTTTTACTTAAGCCAAAAAGATCCGTGACTTCCAATCATAAAGTTCTATATCTTTTTCAAGAAGGCTCAAAATACTAGACAATACCCTATTAATCTCCATCTCTTTTTAATAAAAAGCTCACTAGTTCACTTCACTGATTTAGTTTTTATTTAGTAACAGAAGTTGGAATAAACTCAGGTGATAAACTTGATAACTGAGTTTAGCCTTCAAACAGTAATGTTATGAATTCTAAAATACACAAGAACCCTACACATAGAAAGGAATAATAATATACTATTCAAGAAATACCATGTGTAAAGACAGTATAAGTAAAACAAATGCCGAGGATAAAGATGCTACCTATATCCATGCTTTAATCTTCTTTAAGCAATGACATGAACAGAGAACTCTGAAAACCTTAAGTTTTACCAAACATTGAAGAAAGGCTGAATAAGGCAGTACTTACAGCACAATGCAGTACTTTTAAACATTATAAACTCAATCTTGGTTACTTACCTTCTCTGACCTGTAGTAGAACAGTTCATATTATAAGACCACTTTCCCCCCAACAATCTCATTCCCACAAATGACGAGTTTCTATACAGAAGAAATCACAAGTTTCACACACACATTCACACACTCAAAGAACACACCAAAGGCTAGAGTTTTCTTTTCTTTCAGAGTTTATTGTGTACACATACACTTCACAGGTTTTGTTTTTTTTTTAAGTCTGTACACTTCACAAGACAGTACAAACTAGCTACAATCTGCTAGCAACACATCAGGACATTAACACATCCCATAATTTTTGCCCTAAAACAGGCAATTGTGCTACTCCAGCTCTCTGAGAGAGATTTTTCCAGCTCATGTCATGTGGCCCAGACACCTCCTCTTCTGTAACTTCCACTTCTGGAACTTCCACAAGCCCAAGCTCTATCTTTACTTCTATTTCATGTTCAGCTCAGTGCAGATACTCTGAGGCTTCACTTTTTCATCTTCATATCTGCTTCAATGGCACAGCGGCGCCCCCTGGTTCCCCCATCCTAGATGACAGGCAGACAAAGAAAGGGAGCATGAGTGAGTTAGCTATGAGGTAAGAGAAAAGGTGCAACAAGAATGCTGGGGATTTGGTTTTTGGGGGGAAGAGGGGGGAGAATCAGCAGAAAAATCCAGGAAATGAGGGGCATTTATCTGTCTTCCCACAGAGTGGGCTAAAAAGCACCTGGTAGTAGTGTGTGAGAGGAAATGTAGGACAGAGTACCTTGCTTCTGCCCACCATAGAGGTCACTGGAGTTCACCTGGGGTCCCACAGAATGACTATCAGTCATCCCACCCGGGCCCCAAATCATGTGCAAAGGAACAGGAAGAGTAAAAGATGGGTGGGAGAGTCAGAAAGGGCAGTGGATAGTGAGATTCTTGGCTAACATACCTGTCCAGCTGTTGATCCCTATAAGAAAGGCCTTTCCTGCAGACTGACCCTGGCACTAGTTCCCTAGCACCTCCTGAGTTGTTTTCCGTGAGATCAGGACAATCAGAAGGCTTCTTTCCATCTGCTGCTCTCTCCCTGCAGCCCAGCTCCTTCCTCTTGTGCAATACTTTGCTGTCTTCAATAGATAAAAGATTCTATTAACCAGCCTTGCAACAACCAGCCAATTGCTTGGGGATTCAGAGTCACTGTTGCAGGCCGGTAGGAAAGAATGGAGATTACGGACTGTGGTACGGACTAAGGCCTGTAGGTAAGATGAGCTAGTGAACACTTTTGCTGGGCCAGGCCATTTTTACATTTCTAACATGCAAGGACTCTAAAATTCTTAGATCTCATGAACACAAGTTGCCTTTGAGGCAACAGTAAGTATAAAAATACCACCCTTGCATTTGTATAACGCTTCCTTTTTTTTTTCAAGCCATTTTATCCTCATTTTATCCTCACAACATCCCTGTGAGGTACGCTGGACAGGCACCTCATTATATTACCTCCAGCACACAGATGAGGAAAACAAAGCTCCAAGAGATAATCCAGAGTTTTAAGATCATGTGGTTTTCTAGGTTGACATCCTTCCATTACATCATGACTTAGTGCCTCATAATGAACAACAGAGAGTCAGAGTATTGTTCAAATCACAGAGGAAAAGATTAGAAGTCTTTAGGCTAGCTTTACTAAGCTTATCTCTAATTCCACCAGCCACTACTGTTATGTAGTGGTCACTGTTACTGAGATCTTTATCTTAAATTTTACTGAATGTTTGTGTATCAGTCATCACTCTTGCAACTTAGTATTAGAGGAAAAGAAAAAACCCATGTGCTGAGTATCTGTAGGTATGAGGAACACTTTTTAAAAGCCAGCTAGCAGCTGCTGCTCTGAGCAATCTTCTATTTGTAAGAAAAGAACTGTCAAAAGGTGCAGTCAAGAAATGAGGAGAAGGTGCATCCTAGATCCTTACCAATAATATACCTCATTTCAGCTCAGTGAAGTCATAAATGGTCCCTACCCAGCCCACACACACACACATGCAGAAAGACAGGAGTGCAGAAGAGAGAGTTTCTTATTTAATGACTTGAATAAGCAGAAGTTTAAGACATTGCCACAGTCTGCATGTTCGATTTCCCTCTGCCACCCACCCCCAGCAAGAGCTGAGAAACTTTGTGGCAACACCACCCCTTGCAGCCATTCAATACTTACAAAGAGAGAGAGAAGGAAGGCAGGAGAGCCCATGGGGACACTGTCCTGTTAGAGGACAAACAAACACTGATCAGGTTCCACGGAAACTCTCAGCTGCAAGCACCCCAAACCTCAGGACAGAGACACAAGCACCACACACACAAAGACAAAAATTTTTAAACTCAAGAATAAGAGGAAAGAGATCCAAAAGCAATCTGGCCATTATGCCTCTGGAATAGGAACTGATGGTCCCCAAATGCTGCAAGCTATGTCATTTCTCCCACCTTGTGAGCACTCTCCAAGAGGAGATAATAATTCATGCACTCAGCTCACAATTTCTCCCATGTGACTGGGTCTTCCAGTCACAGCAGGTTTCTTCAGTGTTTGGATGGGAGCAAACAACTACCATTTTAAAATCTTTATGTCTGTATACCATTGGAATGTAGAAGCCTGGAAGTACCAAGTAGTAACATAAGGTTCCTTGGATGCTTCAAACTTCTATCACTGGAACACTGGCACACAGGCTCTTCCTTGGTCTCCTCACCTTCTCTGAAGAATCCTGTTTGCGGGTAGAATCTCTCCCTCGAAGACTTTTAGCACTGATCCCAGACTCAGATGTCTGCATAATCAACTGTGTGGCCAGGAATTGCTGTAGGGAGAAGAAACAGAGTTGGCCCTAGAGACCTGATCCATCAAGGAAGAATGAAGACACCTTAGGCTTTGTAAATAGGAGTACAGTACTGTTCTGCAAACAACATTCAAATACGTCTTGAATGATTAGGAGTTTTAGCACATTAGGTTTTAATTCTAGTTGTGCATGCTAAGGAATCGGAAAATGCCAAATAGCTCTAATTTTTTGTTCTTGTTATAATATAGCATCAAAATCTCTATGCTCTTACTCTATAGCACAGGGAATTATACTCAGTATCTTGTAATAATCTATAATGGAAAAGAATCTGAAAAGAATATACATAAAAAATTGGGGTGGCCAAAAAGTTCGTTAGGATTTTTTTCTGTAAAATGTTATCTGAAAAACCTGAACTTTTTAGCCAACCCCATAGATATAAAACTGAATCACTTTGCTGTCCACTTGAGACTAACACAACACTGTAAATTAACTATATTTCAATTTTTTAAAAAATCCTAAAAAACAAATCTCTATGCTCTAAGAATGAGAGAAAATAAAACTAGATGAACCAAAGCAATTTAAGTAATCAGTAAGCAATTTAAGTAGACTGGCAGACTGCAGAGATAGATAACATCCCTCCAAGTTCAATATCCCAAAGGGTGCCTGGTAATGTAACTACAGGATAGAAGTAGGTTCCCTGCAATGAAAAGGATCGTCTACCATGTACATAATTCATATCACTTAAAAATATACATTCACCATTTCACAAAAATTTTATTAAAAAACTTCAGGAAACAAGATATTTGCCCAAGAAAGGCAGAACATTCTCTCACAACTCTTTTACCAAACCAGCATGAGAAAATCATCATGAATCCAGCAAGAACAAAATTGTATCTTCCTGTGTCCCTGATGGCTATTCCAAGCAAAAACCACAACACCCCTTCCTAACATCAATACAAATCCTTCTCTTGAGTATTTTAAAATTCTCAGGATCCTCAAAGTACCTGGATCTGCTCCAAGACATCTCGCTGCATTTCTACTGCCATGTGATAGACATCGTGGTCTGAGCTATTATACATCACAGCATTCTGGAACATCAGCATAATGTCACGCTGAAATTCAGCTGTGCTGCGGATCAGTCCATTTTCAATGTTTTTCTTAATAGTTGACAAATCCATAGGCCTAAAAAACAGAGCAGGAGGAAATGGGAGCATAGAGGGGAAAAGGACTCCACTGGATCTCTGAATATATTATTACCGTATGCATTTCCTCATATATACCATTAGTCCCAGCTGCCAGGACTCAAGCCCTAAAACAAGTACTTAACCCCCAAACCAAATTCAGCCTATATAATAAGTACTGAGAAAGGTAATAAAGGGGGTTAATTCTTTTAGACTCAGTCAGTGATCCAGTCAGTGAAAAAATTAGTTTAGCACTTGGTCATACTTAAATCAAAAACATCTGCTTTAAACTTTCTGTGTAAAGCAAAAGTCCACTAAGGGGCTTCCCTGGTGGCGCAGTGGTTGGGAGTCTGCCTGCCGATACGGGGGACACGGGTTCATACCCCGGTCCGGGAGGATCCCACATGCCGCGGAGCGGCTGGGCCCGTGGGCCATGGCCGCTGGGCCTGTGCATCCGGAGCCTGTGCTCCGCGGCGGGAGAGGCCGCGGCGGGAGAGGCCCGTGTACCGCAAAAAAAAAAAAAAAAAAAAGTCCACTAAGACTAGACAACTTACAATTCAGGCCTAGTCAGCGTGCTGAATGGATCATGGCTTACCTCTGTACAATGCTGTGGTAGCCAGGTGCTATGTCATCTGTAACAGGCTGCAGGAAGACATTAGCATACCTGTCCAAAAAGAATATGGTGCAATTACTGACTTATCCTCCAAGAAGCACAGGTGAGGGAACTTGATCTAAGCGGCTGAAGGTTTAAGAGCCAATGCCATCAGTCCTGTATAAGCATACTCAGACTTTTTTCTAATTACCAACAATGAAGAGGAGCAGGAGAAAATGTTCCTACTACTTGGTAAAGCCCACTCACCTATGATTAGCTGCGGCTCTCCATACAAGCATGATGGCTTTCTTCCAGATTTTCTGTGCCTGAATAGCTTCCTGATCCTCACTACAGACAGAGCTGAAATAAAAGAAATATGGGAGTCCCACTTGGCATAAGTCCAAAAAAAAGTGTCTTAATTACTTCTTGTCAGATGTTTGTTCCAGGCCAAGAAACAGAAGATGAAAAAGTAAGACTAAAGAAAAGATCCTCTCCTACTTC